TGTGCTGCTGGTTGCACAGCTCCTGTTAGCGATGACGTGTGAGAAGCATGGGGAGCACTTCCCGTGCTGCACTGGCAGGTGGTTCTGATGGGACAGGCTCGGCCCTTTGCGTCAGAATCCTTTAATACGCTGCTTTGCAGAACCGGCGTCATCTTTGCGTTGTGAGAAGGAACAGGAACTGTTGTGAGCAGCGTGTTCGCTTCCACTAGCGCCTTTTCTTAAGCTTCTCTCACAGACCGCTTTGCAACAGCGTGCAGGGCAACTGTGGGAAATGGAGCCTGTAGTACGGCTTGTAATCGCTCTGACGCGGGGTAGGCTCTTCTCGTGGAGCCTGCTGGCAGATCCGCTGCACCCTTCACGTAGAAGGGCTCTTGGCAGGACGGTCGTGCTCAGTGGCTGCTGCTGGAGCTAAAATTCAAACGCTGTAGTACAACCCGAGTCAGGCTGTGTCCAGGCGTCTCTAAACTGTTCATTCCGTTCTAGGAGGAATATGAGGATTCCAGTGGGAATGTGGTGAATAAAAAGACCTACGAAGACTTGAAACGCCAAGGGCTGCTGTAGCTTTTCCCAAGTGAAGGATTTCGCATCTGAAAAGCAAGTGGAGATGTGTCAGCAGCTCTGGCTCCTCTTCAATTTCTGGATTTTCTATGTGCATGAATATAGATTTCGAGGATACTTTATAGAATCACTTTCTAGTAAGCCCCTTGTGAAAAGCAGACTTGTGACGTTATTTTATATTAAAAAAACCTCTTGAAAAATAAACTGATTTTAATTTAGGAAGTGCTGAGAACCTTGTCTCCTTTTGTATCCTGGAAGGAAGAGATTTGATCAGGGTGTTTTTAAAATTGCTTTTACACTGTGAATTGTCAGAAACAGTTGCTTCTCTTATTCCTGTTCGGATGGAAATTTCTCTGATGAGGATTGACTTTCTGTAAAGCTCACGTGAACGTTGCGTGCAGATGAGTAATGGTCCTATAATACATCTTGCGTTAAGCATACGGTGTTCTCTGGGCTCCTTTGCAAAACAAATTTATTTGGCTTGCATCGCTGCTTTTACATCAGGTCTGTGCCCCTGTGGAGGTTCAGCCGCTGGGATTTTTTCAGGGAATTAATCCTAGAGCTTGGTTTAAGTCGGGCCGGGTGGACAGCCTGCGGTAATTTCCCCAGCACTGTGGCAGTCCTCGAGCCCCCTCCCGCCCCTCAGGTGGGTTTCGTCTTGGTTTACAGTTGGCTTGTGCGACATCCCTAGCCTCAAAAAGCCCCTCCTCTGTTGTCACTGTGCAGGGCCCTTTGCATCTCCGGGTGCCGCGGAGCAGCAGGTGACAAACGCTTCCCCCGGGTGCTGGTTTGTGCAGCCGGTGGTTGGCAGGGGTGGGGCCGGTTGCTGGCGCCAGGCTGCGAGCCCGTGCGGCAGGTACGGTGCTGGGGGGCACTCCACGGCTGGCAGCGGCTGCAGGCTTGCACTGGGGCGTCGGGGAGCGGACGGAGAGGGTGAGTCGTGCTGCGGGCTCTTTCCTTCCCTGCCCGGGGGGAAAGTTGTTCTTGGGATGAGGCCGTGCCTGGTGGGTGTTCGTTCCTAGCCTGCCCTGGAGCTGGGTTGGGCTGTGCAGGAGTGGCACCCTGCTCGGGCGAGGTCCAGACCTGGCCTGGGTGGTGGCTGCCCTGCTCTGGAAGGCGAGAGGCCAGCCTGCGTTGTCGGCTCCATCGCTCTGAATGAACAGCCTCAGTGGTCTCTATGCAAGCTTCAGCTGTTCCAGGTCCTTGGGGAGTGCAAACTGCACCTAAATCACAAGGCAGGAGGGGAATGTTACAGCTCTCCTTGGAGAACGTGGCCACGGAGCCAGTCTCGAGTCATGCCTCCGCTGTTTCCTTAGCTAAGCAGGTAAAGATTTTTAATGAAAGCAGAGAGAGATTCCTACGACGAAGAGCTGGGCATCATGGGAAGCACCAAAGCAGGTAGAACTGCCCAAATGATGGGGGTGAGCGGCAGGGCAAGGGGCTGGGCGGTGAGAAGCTGTGCAGACACCTCTTAGCAGGCGGGATTTGACAGCAGCGTGGCAGTGCGTGCAGCGGTGTAACCAGGAGCTTTGCGCAGACCCTGCTCTGTCGTGGAGCCTCACCACGGCTGGCCAAAGCCCGTTCTCTCTGCCACGAAGCAGCAGTGGCTCCTGTTTTGCTCTTTGCCAGGTCCCAAAGGCCTGTGGCAGAGGTGCGTCTGGAAACGGGCATTTTTCACACCAGACTCTTTGGCCAAACAACTGCTTGGAGGGTCTCTTGCTGCCCTGAGCTCTGAGGGCCGGTGGGCTCGGGTCCTCCCGTGATGGGTGCTGCTGATGGGGGGGTCACATCTTCACTTGCAACAGCACCAGCAAACTGCTGCGTGGTGCCAAGTGTCATCCGTAACTACCCTGCCCTCATGCTCCTGGCAGCTGCCTGCAGCTCTGCGCATTGCCTGCGAGCACCGGTGGAGGTTTCCACACCAACGGGAGCGTGCGGCCCCCCGGGGGGCTCCTGCTCGCCAGCAGCCGTGCCCCTGGGCCCCATCCGCGGCAGGTG